AAAAGGAAGGAGGGGATGAGAGGATGAGAGGGTGCAGCAGGAAGGGAGAGTCAGAGGAGAATGAGAGTGAGAGGAGAAGAAGAGTGAGAGACAGAGTGAACAAGATATACCTATAACTAAGTAAGACGCATATAAACATAAATATATACATACATACACACACATACATACATACATACATACATGCATACATACATACATACATACATGCATGCATGCATGCATACATACATCCATGCATGCATGCATGCATGCATACATACATACATACAGACATACATACATACATGCGTGCGTGCGTGCGTGCGTGCGTGCGTGCATGCATGCATGCATGCATGCATACAAACATACATACATACATACATACATACATACATACATACATACATACATACATACATACATACATGTATCCATGCATGCATGCATACATGCATACATACATGCATACATACATGCATGCATGCATGCGTGCATGCATGCATGCATGCATACGTACATGCATACATACATACATGCATGCATGCATACACACATACATACAGGCATGTGTGTGCATGCATATCTACATATATGTATGCATGCATATATGCATGCATGCATGCATGCATGCATGCATGCATGCATGCATGCATGCATACATTCATACATACATACATACATACATACATACAGACAGACCGACAGACATACATACATATATACAGATATACATACATACATACATACATACATGCATGCATGCATACATGCATACATACATACATATATACATGCATGCATATATGCATACATAACTACATGCATACACACATACATGCATACATACACACGTCGAGACAGAGAAAGAGAGAGAGAGAGAGAGACTGACACATACACAGACACAGAGACAAACACAGACACAGACGCAGCCACACAGACAGACAGAGAAAGAGAGAGAGAGAGAGAGAATGACACAGAGAACGAGAGGAGATGGATCTGAGGGGAGGGAAGTGAGGAAAGGAGGGAAGAAAGAGGCACAAGGCGCGGGGAACAATTATCCACCTTCCAGGATCCCCGGCCCCAGCTGGCGTTCAAGAGCGGGTTGCGGGGAAACCAGGGGAAGTGAGACTGGTGGACGACATCAAATGGGGCACCGACGTCCACCAAGCCTCAGGAGCGCAATGCATCTCAGAATCAAATTCGAGCTGTACATTGCAGCATGCTGATTGCCCCACCCTCTTGCTCCACAGGGGGGCAGACGCGCGCGTCTTCTTCCTCCCCCTCTTCCTGCACTGACGCTCCTCCTCCTCCTCCTCCTCCTCCTCCTCCTCCTCCTCCTCCTCCTCCTCCTCAAGCGGAAGACAAAGCGTTGTAAACACAAAGTTTCGGACGGTCCGCGCGGACCGTCGAAAACATAATGCATTTGTTTCTGTTCGCTGACCCTCCTCCTCCGTCCGCGAGAGGACAGCACACCCCACCCCCACCCCCCGCCAGGACCCTCACCCCCGACCTGATGATCCAGGGGGTCCTGGCTGGGGGTGGTGATGCCTCTCCACTGCCCCCAAGACCCGGGAGAAAGAACACGCCCCCGCCCCCAGCCAGGACCCCCCAGACCACCAGGTCGGGGGGGAGAGGGCCCTGGCGGGGAATGGCGCCGTGGCGAGTGCACAGGAGGCTCGAGGCGCACAGCGTCCCCTCCTCGCGGGGGAGGGGCTGGGCTGTGCCGCCCCCCACCCGTGCAGGCCAGGACACGGCCTGCCCGATGGCCGCCCGAAGCCCGCGGCCTGGGGCCGACGAGCGGTGCTCGCGCCAGGCCCCCTCCCCCCCCCCCCCCCCCCCCGAGAGCGGCGGCCCTGAGGGCCAGCTCGTGGGGCTCGCTCGATCATCGATCGACCCTCGATCCTCGATCCGTCGATCCATCCTCGATCCTCGATCGACCCTCGATCCTCGATCGATCGATCAATCATCGATCCTCGATAGATCGATCGATCCACCCTCGACCCTCGATCGATGGATCCGCGGCTGCCTTGACAGCGTTTGCTGTGTCTTGCGGTAGAGGCCGTTGCCAGCACCAGCCGCCCAACCGCGTAAAGTCACGATTCGTGCTGACTTCCGAACTGTCATTGGTCATTCCTGAGACGTTCCCAGACGGCGCCGGCGCGAAACGTGACGTACCCAGAACCCCTCCCCCCCTCAGTAACGCCCGCTACCGCCTGGGGATTCAAGACGCTCTCCGTTGCGCGCCTCTGCGGGCGACCCTGGGTCTCGCGGGGAGGTGAGGTGGAGAAGGGGGGGCAGGCGGGGACGCGCTGACCCGGGTCAGTGCAAGCCTAGGCCAGTCGGCTTTTCCAGCACCCGGCAAGATCCCGGGAGCAAGCCCGGGCCAATGCACCCCTGGCTCTGCAGGCTCCTGCAAGATCCGGCGGCCTGGCTGACCCCCATTTGCATTGACAGGTCTGCGATGGATCGCATCGCGAAATCGGATCGGATCGAGAGCGGGTCCGATCGCACGCGGAATCGTCCCGAACCGGATCGGTATCAAACCGCCGCGCCCCGCTTCCGGCTGGCACTGGCCGATGCCGGTGAATACTGAGCCGGATTCCATCGAATCGGAACCGCGGCCCCACCCGGCGAATCGAATCGCATAGAATCGGATCGCGGGCTGCCCTAATTGGCCCCCGTCTCGACGCCCCGGAGGTAAGGGGGGGAAGCTGGCCGACCAGGTCAGTCCTGGGGAATGGTGAGTCGGCGATGCCCCCAGGAGCGGGGGGCCGCGAGGCTGCCCTCGGCATGGGCTGGGCGTGGACAGGCGCGCTCCACGGCTCGTGAAACTACTCGCAAATCGCACGGGTCCAGCGCGGGGGACTCAGGATCCATCACAACGAGGCGAACGCATGTTTTGCGGACGTTTGCGAGCAGGCACTCTGCGAGTAGTGGAACGCGCTGGGCGAGGGAAAGGCACAAGAGGGGCCCGCGGGGGCGATCGCGAGCCATGCCCCTGCTGGAGATCCCACCAGCCCGGTAGGGCGTGAGCGGTTTAGAGCGCTTCCTCTTCCAACCCCCTTTCTTCCCCCTCGAGGAGGAGTTGATCACTGTTCCCTATGAATACACACCCCCTCCCCCAGGCGCCTGGCAGCCAACCAGGAAAAATGAGGACCACATGAAGGCCCCCCCCCACCATCCCTGTCAAAAACCGTACAAAGTACAAGTTGAGGCAAAGTCTGGAGTCTGGAGTCATGTTCGTGAGGCCCGCGAGCACTTTGCATGCTTTTTTGACAGGGACGGCGGGGGTGTCAGCATATTGCCTGCTGCGCGCAGGGCTATCATCCCTGAATCATGCGCGGCCACCCCGCGATCACTGTCAAGCGGTGGCGTAAGGCCTGCTGTGCGCAGGGCTACCAGACGCAATGATGGGCATCGGCTTTCGACATAGATGGTGGGGGCCGACATGTTTCCCGATGTGTGATGCCACGTGCGCAGGCGCACCTGACATACTCTGCACGTGTCCCGAACGTGGCGCACCTGGCGCGGCGGGAGTATGCGGCACACCTGGCGCACGTGGAGGCACGTGGCGCATCTGGCGCACCAGGCGTGCCTGGCACGCTCGGGCCCCAGGGCTACCTTGCGCACGTGGCGCGCCTGGCACGCGTGGCACACCTCGCCCCAGCGTCGCGCACATGGGCTCGGTTCTGGTTCCCAGTAGCTGCGCATCCAAAGACGGCCGCTGAGCATGCCGAGGCTCTGGTGTTGCGTATGTGCTGGGAGGGCGGGTGGGAGTGAGCTAGATGGCTTGCTATCTACGAGGGTGTCTTGACCCCTCCCCCAGGGCTGAACCTAAACGGTGTGTTTCGTTTTCGTTGTGTTTTCGTTTTCTCTCGTTTTGTCTTCAATCCGCCTTTACCGCAAAACGAAGCCAAAACGAAAACGGCCCACGAAACGGTCCAGCCCTGCCCTCCCCCTGCCCTCTACCCCTGGACCTGGAGCGTGCAAGATGGCCTCGGCGAGGAGACCCGCATGACTGTTGTTACTGAGGTTTGGGCCACAGTCGGACCTCTCGGGTGGGAGGCCCTACTGAGGTACGATCCCTCCTTTGATCGACCTCCTTCAAGATGGCCCCAAGATGGCCCCCGAGGCTCCCGAAGGTGCCCCAAGAAGGTCCCGAGAGGTGCCCAGGAAAACCCAGGAGGCCCCCCAAACGCCCCGAAGATGCCTCGAAAAGGCTACCAAGAAACCCCCAAGAGGCCCCAAGAAGCCCCTCAGAGGCGCCCAAGACGCCCCAAGAGGCCTCCGGGACTGCCAAGAAACCTCCAAGACATCCCAAGAGGACTCCGAAAAGCTTTCGAAACGCATCCGAAGATATTCCGAGAGGCATCATGAAGCATCTTGCCTTTCTGCTCGCCCCTCCCCTCCTCCTCCTCCTCCTCCTCCTCCTCCTCCTCCTCCTCCTCCTCCTCTTCCTCCTCCTCCTCCTCGTTCCTCCTGTGGGAGCTGTAGTTGCCTCATGATCAAAACTCTGGCTGTGACCTGCGGCCACAAGTCTGCCAAAGGAGAGCAGAACTTCAGACGCATAGGGCTTTTGGCCCCACCCTAAGGGTATGCCCTTGAAGGTGAAGGAGGCCCTACATTGGCGCGATGCCAACAGGGCCATCGCGAGAGCTAATGCGCACGTGCATGTGTAAGTGTGTGTGTGTGTGTCTTGTCGGTCTCTCACTGACAACAGACGAGCTGATCTGGCAACATGTCGTCTTAATTGTTTCCGTACGATTGTGTACTTCGGAAGCGATCTCATGCCGATTCTCCTCCTCCTCCTCCTCCTCCTCCTCCTCCTCCTCCTCCTCCTCTGCTTCCTCCTCCTCCTCCTCCTCCGATTCCTCCTCCATGCTTCCCCTCTTGGGGTATGACGTCTTACCCAGCCCTTTAGTCCACTGCATGCCTCTCCACATGCCTGATCGGGGCAACTCGCCCGGGCATCGCTTCTGATGGGCTGGTGGGGTCACACGCGAATCGTCTGGAATATCTGAACCATTCTTCCTCGGTGAGAGCATACGCCGCAAACAGGCAGAGAAGCCGAAGCCGAACGACTGACGCTCGGCGTCCTGTACAACAGTCGGCGGCCGCCGCGGCCTCCACAGTGCCGTTGCCCGCTGCGCGGCTGCAGCCGGGAGGGCCTGAGGCCGCCCCCTGCCCAGCCGGAGGTGCATGCGCTGCTTCGCCCGCGGCGGGAGCCGCTGCACCGGCCCAGCCGGAGGGGGGGCCGATGCAAATTGGCAGAACACCGAAGTCAACAACGAGCCGCCTTCTGGCAAACCGCTCGGGTCAACGTATGCACACGAAGCGGGCATGTGCTGTATGCCCAACGGTCCTACAACCCCGCGTGTCGTTTTGCGAGCTGTGTCCTCCCCGTGCTGCTGCTGCTTCTGCTGCTCCCGTGCCCAGAGAGGCGCGCACCCACGGGATGGCTGCCTCCTCACTCTTCAATCCAGAAAACTAAACTGGGCGCTGGCCGAAAGGACAGCAGGGCAGGGCCATCTGCGCCTATCCAGCGCCAACGCCCTACACCCTGGCGGACTTGACGCCGCGAATCAAGCAAATCTAATTCTCTGCCTAGTTGGAACTTGAAAATACCCTTCCAGGCTCCACGAATCCCCAATGATCCTCCTGGCTCCTCCTGGCGATCTCGATCCCGTGAAGGGGCTCGCCCCACCCCATCCCATCCCCACGTCATCTGGTGCAAGCAAGCCGCGCCACGACTTACAAGGCGGCAGCGCGTACCTGAGCGGTTATGTATGGCAGGGCCCGCAAGCGAGATGCGTGCGAGTGAGGAGCGAGAGTCGTAGTGAGGCGGGGGGGCACACGAGCACAGACGCTGGGATGGGGGGAGGAAGATGAAGAGAAGGGGTGCGCCAGGAGTAGCAAGCGGAGGAGAAGCCAGGGAAGCATGAAGAGGATAGGAGGAGGGAGGGGGTGGGGGCAAGCTAGGTGCGCTCGCGTCAAATCTGACGTCATACCCCTCCCTCCCATCCCTAACCATGGCGTAGATCTCATCTCTATTCGAACAGTCGGAGGTCGAGCAAGGCAATGATCCCGAGAGGGTGCGCGATGCATCGTAGAGCACGGCATAGCAGGGCGTAGAAGAGCACGGCAGAGAGTAGTATGTCATAGCATGCCGTGGCGTTGCGTAGTAAAGACTTGCGTCACAAAGCATTGCAATGCAAATAATGGCATCGCACAACGGCACAGAACAGAACACGGCATAACATGACGTTGAAGATCAAAGCGTAGCATGGCATAGCATGGCGTGGCACTGCGTAGTCAAGCACTGCATATCCTAGCATTGCAGCTGAAGGCATGGCATCGCACAGCGAAAAACAACGTAGCATTGCATTGCATGTCGTGGTATGGCACTGGAAATAATGACGCCAGCGCTGCAGCGGGAGCACGATTCGGAACGAGCGGAAGCACGGAAATGAGGCCACCGCTGCAGCGGGAGCACGATTCGGAACGAGCGGAAGCGCGGAGATGAGGCCATCGCTGCGGCGGGAGCACGATTCGGAACGAGCGGAAGCCCGAACATGAGGCCAACGCTACAACAGGAACAGAATTTTCTATTCAATCAAACCCAAGCGAAAACCCAACTCCCGGGAATTCCCTGTGTAAGAAAACAATATGCGGGGGGGCCGAACATCTTCTGGACTTCATCAGGGGAGAGAGGAGAGTAGTATTCATATTCTGTAATTGTGAAGAGGGGGAGGAGGAAGGAGCAGGGACGACTCAGGGAAGGAGGGATGGCGAGCCAGGGGAGGAGAAGGAGGAGGAGGAGGACCAGTGTAAACCCAAGATTCATCAACGATGTTACAATAAACACTCCCTCCAAGTTCCCTCTTCATTGGCCCCTGGCAACATCCATTTCACTGCGGGAGATGCCCCGTTGACAGACAACCGTTTGGAAAAACCTGAGCCGTGCCAGAACACCGTCCCTGGTACTTCAACGCCGCGGATTGGCGTTGCTGTTGCGTCTTGACGATCCTGAATCGCACCAGAACGCCGCTCCTGGGACTTCATTCAACACCGCAAATCAATGTGACTGCTGCATCCTGACAAGTCTACATCGTGCCGGAACACGATATTTCTGGGACGTTAGCTATGAGAACTCTTGAACATGCTGTAAACGATTCAAACGAATGTGCGCAGCGCTGAGGCGAGAAACACATGCTGGAAAAGAGCCGACCTCCATCCGTGAAGCGCTTGCAGCTGTTTGACACGAAGGTGCGCGACACTGCGGCGAGAGCTGCACTCTGAAGGGAACCGCCCTCGACCCGTGAAACTCTTGAAAACTGGTGCAACGAACATGAGCGGCACTAGATCGAGAGCCACACGTTTTGAAAACTGCCCCCCTCGACCCGCGAAACTCGTTCAACGTGCGCGGCGCGAATGCGAGAACCACATGTTGGAAACTGCTCCGAACTCGGTATGTGGAACTCTTACACTGGTTCCTTGACAAAACACAGAACGAATGCGCCACATCTTGGAAGCGGCCCGCCCTCCCTCCGTGACACCGCCGCAAGGTTTAAGCCTCGGGATCATACATGGGGAGGAAATATTTGACGATACGCCCAGCCCGCTCTTCACCATGTCCATTACCATGATCAACCTTATCCTCATCATCATCATCATCATCATCATCATCATCATCATCATCATCATCATCATCATCATCATCACTATCATCATCATCATCATCATCATCATCATCATCATCATCATCATCATCATCAGCATCATCATCATCATCATCATCATCAGCAGCAGCATCAGCATCATCATCATCATCATCAGCAGCAGCAGCAGCAGTATCACCATCATCATCATCATCACCACCACCACCACCATCATCATCATCATCATCATCATCATCATCATCATCATCATCATCATCATCATGAAGATCATCATCATCATCATCATCATCATCATCATCATCATCATGAAGATCATCATCATCATCATCATCATCATCATCCTCCTCATCATCATCATCATCATCATCATCATCATCATCGCCACCATCATCATCATCATCAGCAACATCAGCAGCATCATCAAAAGATCGTCGTCATCATCATCATCATCATCATGAACATCATCATCATCATCATGAAGATCATCATCATCATCATCATCATCATCATCATCATCATCATCATCATCATCATCATCATCATCATCATCATTATCTGGAGCGCCCCTGATCAGCAGCACTGGCCAGAGGCCAGCACAGTTTTAGGCGAAACGCTCGGCCCGACCTACGGACTGGTCTCGGGGTGCGACAGGGAGGAGTCATCTACAGTGGAGGCCAGTCTACGAGAAACCTTCCAAAAGAAACCCACAACCCTGAGACCCGAGGACTTCCATGGACTTTTGGTGTGGGAACGTCGCGCTCTCCACAGCAGAACCATCGAAACCCGAGAAGCCCAGGGCGCCCTGGAGGCAAGCAGGGTGCTTCTTGGCATGGGCCTCCACCTGTATGGACGAGGAGGACGAAGACGGAGGATTGTGCTACGCCGATGGCCGCGGACGACGCCGGCGCCGCGGCACCCAGGGGTTCGGGACAGCCCGCACCACGGATCTCCCCCGCAGAACGGAGGGGCCCCAGTGCCGCCCCACACGCCCAGGGTGCAAGACGGGCACAGCGCGTGGCGCGCCAGGACGACGACGAGGACGAGGCTTCCAGAGGAAGGGAGGCAGGGAGGGCGGGGGGGGGGGGGGAAGGGGGGGGGGGGGGAGGAGGAGGACAGGGAGGCCCAGGGACGAGGGAGCAGAGGGCCGAGGGAGCGGGGTGGAGGAACGGATGGGATGCAGCCCAGTTCGATTGGAGAGAGCACGCGAGAGGACACGAGACCGTCCCGAGGGCCGCATTGCCAAAGGAATGTAGAAGGCATGAGTCGTTGAGCTCAGGACGCCAGGATATCCTTCACTTGGCTGGGTCGGCCTGCTGATCAAGCTCGATTGTACAAGGACCAGGGAAAGAAGAGAGATGCTGGACAGGAGGGGGCGCTTCTGTCCGCCAGCCCCACCCGGGGGCGCCAGGCTGCGAGTCCTCGATGAACCGCTGTCCTGTGGCGTCTCGGGTCTTCTTACCTGCGGTCCTGCGTCGCACGTCCTGTCCCTTCAGAAGGAGAAGGAGGAGGAGGAGGAGGAGGAGGAGGAGGAGGAAGAGGAGGAGGGAGGGGGGGAGGGGGGAGGGGTAGGAAGAGGGGTAGTAGTAGGAAGACGAGGAGGAGTAGTAGGAGGAGGAGGAGGACGAGGAGGAGGAGGAGGCCCACGACACCAGGAGGCCCCACCCAAGGAAGCGGGCACTCAGCCCCCCAGTCGATCCCGGCTGCCCCAGAACTCCTATGGGGGGACGACACCATACCGCCAAGACAGCCCAAGAGGCCTTCGGAACAGCCCCCGAGAAGGACCTGAGAGCCCACGGACGGCTCGGGATGGCTCAAGGAGGCCACGAAGACCCGAAAAGGCTACCCTTAGGTCGGGCATGTCCCACTACAGGGGGACTCTGGACGAACGATAAAAAGTAATCCCCAAAAATACCTCCAAAGTGATCCACGATAGTCAAAAAATCGTCCCTGGACTATTGTTTGATCATTGTTGAATACTCCTCCTGTGGAGGGACGGGCCCGGCTTCAGGCCACCCGGAGGCCGCAGGACACCCCCCCCTCCTCCCCGCGAGAGCGGGCGAGGCCCCGGGAGGACTCCCCTCGAGGGCCCCAAGCACGACCGTCAGGTCGGGCACGTCCTCCTATACAGGCGGGTTTGGGCCGACGTGTAAGAAATAGTCATGTATTTTCTATATATCTATATAAATGTCCAAAAAGACCCCCCCCACAAAAACAGAAGAATCATCCCCAGAGTTTTTAACTGTTTTCGGATATTCCTCCTGTAGAGGGACACGCCCGACTTCACACGACCCCGAGGTGGCCCCGTCTGGGGGGGGGGGGGGAGGGGCGGGCGGCGGCGGCCGGCGCAGCTCCTGGGATATTTCAGGCCGGCCCTGCTGGCCCTGGCGGACACACAAAAAGCTCCCCGCAGAGCCAGGCCCTCCAGGCCCGCTGTGACCGGGGGCCGGGGCGCACCTCGCGAGACCTGCAGACGAGACCAAGCGGGGCCCTCCCCGGCCTCGGCTTCCTCGTCCGACCCTCCTCCTCGCCCTCCTCGCCCGTGGGTGCTGCCGGGCACATGTCGCTTGGTATCTGGCTGCGCTCCACGGCGAGAGCGGAGCATCCTCATGGACTCCCACGTTCTGCTGACGCGGGCCGAGTGCCTGGCTTCCGGCCGCACAGCATCACCCGTGCATCGACGCCGAGGAAGCGCGGCATGAGGGCAGACCCGCCTCCGGCGGAGCCAAGATTCGATCTCAGCGCCAGCTCGAGACAGCAGCAGCACTGCACAAACGCCACGCAGAGGCGTCATATGAAGAACCCTGCGCCCAGATTTTGGGGCCACGACGGGGCACACCGACAAGCGCAACGGCCTCTGCTGTGTGTGGTGTTGTGGGTGCTGCGCCTCCCTGCCTGCCCCTCCCTGTGAAGTGTGCAGATCCCCCGCTGTCGGCCACGGGGTTGAGACACCCCTGGAAGGCGAGGCGGAGGAGGCGCGAGAGCGAGAGCGAGAGCGCGAGAGCGAGGGCAGGAAGGAGGAAGAGCAAGACGGAGAGAGACCGGCGGCTCAAAGGGGGGCGGGCCGAGGCGTGCAGTCAACCCCTATCACAGGGACGCACGATATAAGGGTGCAAGGGCCTCGGAGAGCCATGCCAGCACTTTGCAGGCGGGGCGCAGCCAGCAGAAGCGGCCAAGGGTGGGCGGAAGGGGAAGGATGCAAGGGCAACCTTGGAATGGAGAGTCGCTCGTCCCTACTATGCGGGTTGACTGTACTAGGGGCCTCCTGGATGGGGTCGGAGTAGATGGGGTCGGATGATCGCGCTGCATCGTCGACGTGGGAGATGCATCCGCGACGGCGACGTGACGCACATCGGGCTGCACATCGAGCCGCATCGGCTATGCATCGCCGATGCATCGGCGATGGGGCGCGATCCTCCGACACCATCTACTCCGGCCCTCTCTAGGAGACCCAGACAAGGGCAACCTTGGAAAGTCGCTCGTCCTCACCGTGCGGGTTGACTGTGCAGGGCTCGAGCTCTGGGGGCTCGAGTTTGCCCGGCGGGACCGTGGGGAAAGCAAGGACGGGCCCCGGCCAAGAAAAAAATCGATCCAGAGACCCCAGCTGCAGGCATCTCTCTCGGACAAGACGGGGCCGTCCAGACCTCGCTGCCGGGGGGGGCCGCCAGAACGCGGCGGCAGAGGGCCGAGAGTTCTGGCGCCAGCTCGAGCCCCACGCCTCCCCGATCCTGGGTCTGGACGCTCGCGGATGGGTGCGGGAAGGAGGTGCACGACTGCAAACGGCGAGCGGCGTCCAAAACCGCCAGCGGCCGCCGTGGGCCGGGGGCCTCCCGGCCCCAGCGGACGACGCCACGCGACGGCACCGACAGCGAGTCCTGCTCAAGACGGACAGGCACTGCTGTCGATCGTTGTCGTCGTTGGTCGCTCTCGCTATCGTCGTCGTTGTGATCGCTGTGATCGTCGTGATCGTCGTAGCCGTTGTCCCCGTGCCCAGCTCGACCGTACAGACCAGGGGGAGGGGTCGCCGGGCTCGGCGGCCTGCGCCCTCCCCAGGGCCCTCTGCTCCTGCCTTGGGGCGCACGGGGACATGCCAATTTCAATATCGGAGGCGCGCGCGTCCGACCCGAACATGTCGTGTACCCATCCTGCAGCGCGTCGTTTCTCGAGCGGTGCGGCCAGAAGGCGCCCGCCACGACGCACGTGCTACACGACTTCTCGGCGCGCGCGTCGCCCCTGGAGGGGCGACGCACACGTGGTGCTCGTATGCTGGGGTGACGCCGATGCCTGGCTGTCCCGACAGGTGGCGCCGGAGCCCATCTCTGCCGCCTCCTGCTCGTTCTCGGAGCCGTGTGGCTCCCCCGGCACTGGTCGGCGGCGCGCGCGCACGCCGAGGGGGGAAGCGAGAGGGGGCTTGCCTTAGGTCGGGCGTGTCCTCCTACAGGCGGATTTCGGGCGAACTATTCTGGCGAAAGGCCCAACCGTATGCAGATAGTGGGTAACGCAATTGTGAAGCTCCCAGTGCTAGGGCTACCGCCCGCATGCGTCCCCCCCCCCACCCAGTACAGCGTTTCGTGGCCCCATAGGGAGCTCCACCGAAGCCTCCAGTGCTACCGCCCGCATGCTCTCCCCCCCCACCCAGTGCAGCGCTTCGTTGCCCCATAGGGAGCTCCACCGAAGAAGATATTCGGTGGGGCCCCCCATGGGGCCACGAAGCGCTGCCCTGGGTGGGAGGGGACGCATGCGGGCGGTGACACTGGGGCCTTCGGTGGAGCTCCCCATGGGGCCACGAAACGCTGTACTGGGTTTGGGGGGGACGCATGCGGGCGGTCCACCTGGAACCTTCGGTGGAGCTCCCTATGGGGCCACGAAACACTGTACTGGGTGGGGGAGACGCATGCTGGTTGTGGCACTGGGGCCTTCGGTGGATCTCCCTATGGGGCCACGAAACGTGTGAGGGGTGTGCCAGATTGGGTTTTCGGGACGCATGCGGGCCGGTCCCACTGTGGGCCTTCGGTGGATCTCCCTATGGGGCCACGAAACGTGCGAGGGGTGTGCCAGATTAGGTTTTCGGGGCGCATGCGGGCGGTCCCACTGGGGCCTTCGGTGGATCTCCTTATGGGGCCACGAAACATGTGAGGGGTGTGCCAGATTGGGTTTTCGGGACGCATGCGGGCGGTCCCACTGTGGGCGTCGGTGGAGCTCCAATGGGGCCACGAAACGTGTGAGGGGTGTGCCACATTGGGCTTTCGGGGCGCATGCGGGCGGTCCCACTGGGGCCTTCGGTGGAGCTCCCTACGGGGCCACGAAACGTTTGAGGGGTGTGCCAAATTGAGTTTTTGTGGGGCCACGAAACGTGTGAGGGGTGTGCCAAATTGGACTTTCGGGACGCATGCGGGCGGTCCCACTGGGGGCTTCGGTTGAGCTCCCTATGGGGCCACGAAACGCTATAGTGGGTGGGTGAAACGCAGGGAGGTGGGAGGAGGGTGAGGGAGGAGGGAAGAAGGAGGGAGGAGGAGGAATGCGGGGACCGTCTCCTCAAAACGAGGACTCAACACCACAGGATGGTTGGGAAAAATATGCCACAAGTACCTAAATATAACCAAAACTCAAACAATCGTCCCCGTACTATTGTTCTACTGTTTTTGGATGTTCCTCCTCGAAGCCCGCGCGCCTGCCGAGGAGGCGCCCTCCCGGCGTCGGGGAGGGCTCCGAGAGCCTCTCCCGGAAGGCCGCGGGGGGGCCACTGCCGAGCCTCAGCCGGGGGACGCCCCCGCCAGCGTTCCCCCTGGGCTCGCCCTCGAGCCGAGGAGGAGAGCGGAGGAGGAGGAGGAGGAGGAGGCGCCAGGAGGAGCCAGGAGGAGGAGGAGG